ATGCACGTAGGGTAATAATGTCCAATTCATTCTACTATTATTCCAACCCCCATACCCCTTCTCCTCCCTTCACTCCCTTTTGTCTAATTCAAAGTGCCTCTAATCTTCCCCACCCCTAATTATGAATTAGCATCCATGTATCAAAGAAATCATTTGGCCTTTGGTTCTTTGAGATTGGCTTATTTTGTTATGATAAGCATTTCTCTACTACTTCTACCTCTACTTCTACTACTACTTCACCCGAGCGCCCCAGCCTTGATAAAGCACATCAAGTCCCAATGCACAACTGCCACGTGGATCTTTCTCATAGGGTGTTTTACAGCTACGTGCCATCTCTCCCAAAACAAGGAGTTGTTTATCACAGCCACGGCGCTTATCAGCGCCATCTTGTAATGGCGACCACGGTCCGCTGACACGGCTCACCACAAGTTAACCCATTTTTCCCAAGTCAATTCTAGGCCTCTCATGTTCATCACTGACCAGAAACGAACTAGCGTTAGAAGCATCAGCATTTTTATTGACATGAACAACTTTCATTGGCCCTCCTGCTAGATCTAATTCATAAGTTGTTTCAAAGCCTTCTTGGCATATTTTAGGTCAGAAAATTATTTAGATTGATGTATTTCACTGTCCATCACAAGTTACATACTTTAATTCTGTCTAAAAGGCATAAGATCGCCCAAAGCACATTGTCAGTTATGTTTAAAGATAATGAGCCTTTAAAGGTAATAAAGTTCTTTAGGTCCAATATTTCCCTTTTGTAAGTTGTTGGCCATTGCTGTGTTGTTGTTGTTTTTTGTTTTTTGTTTTTCTGCCTGTGATGCCTGTGTTGTGATTGGCACTCCTAAAACTCAGGTTAGTTAATCTTATTACTAGAGGCATTGAGCTAACATCAGCAAACTCTACATATGCAATTCCTTTGGAGCATCTTGAATTTCTATCAGAAATCATCCTCACATCTCAAACATTTCCTGCTCTAGAGAAACTCTTCTACCTTCCTCCTTTGAATTCTCTGCAAGCTGCCTGCAAAAAACTGTCCTTGCATCTTTTCCTCTGGAGTTAGATTATCAATAGGTTCCCTTACAGAGCTCGGCTGCAGCAAAATGGGGCGGGGTGACGAGCAACTTGTGTAGATTGATACAGCAGGAGGGGGAGCCCTTTATTGTAGGACAGGAGCGGTATTTATACATTCCACACAGCTTATCTTAATTACCATAAACTAGATACTTGAGTCAACCAATAAGAAATCTCCATACTTAATGGTTTGCTGGCCTTACTTCACAAACCACTCCCTCTGGCATTTTGCCAGGCGCCATCCAGACTTGTTTACAGACTCTAACAGAGGCAACCCAGTCTTTCCTCAGCTGGCACTGTTAAATTTTTATACAGAATAGGGACTTTGTAATGGCTTCATCATCTATGAGTTTAACTTTTTTTTTTTAAACTGGAAGTTGAACCCAGAGGTGCTCTACCACTGAACTATACTTCCAGCCCTTCTTATATTTTATTTTGAGACAGGGTCTCATTAAGTTGCCAGTGCTGGCCCCTAACCTTCTGCCTCAGCCTCCTTAGTTACTGGAATTAAAGGCTACACCATTTGCCTGGCTAATTTTCAATTCTTAAAGGGTTCCTTTCTTTTTTGCTACTTTACTTCCTTTCTAGGCTTTTGCTTTTCCTTTCTCCAGCTCTACTTTGCTTCCATTCCTTACTTTGCTTCTTTTTCTTTCAAGACTACAACTTGTTTTTTCCCTCTTTTTGCATCTTCTTCTTCATGGCCATTAGCACTGCCAAACTTGTTCTTATCCTTCTTTCTTTTTGAGACAGGATCTTACTGTATTGCCCAGGCTACATTGAATTTGTGATCCTTTTGCCTCAGCCTTCTGAGTAGCTGAGATGACAGGTATGTGCAGCCATGTCTAGCTTCTTATCCTTATTGTAAGGAGCCTCGAAAACATTGCTTCAATATCAGTACCTGCCATTTTCTCTAAATGTCTGTGTAGGCTTTGAAGTGCCTGTAGTACTCATATTAGGAAGAAAATGCTGCTGCTGCTGCTGCTGCCGCTCCCAAGTACTTCTCACAGTCTACCTACCACACCTAGACTCAGTAATATGACTAGGGCTCAGCTATGAGAGATGGGTTTTTCTTTCCATGTAGTCTCTTATTATACAAGAGGCTAACCCTGGCTTATTCAACATGGTAGCAACAGCAGGTTCTAAGAGAATGGAAGTAGAAGTTACAAGGTCTCTAGAGACCTAAACTCAGAACACATACTATATCAGTTTGTTAGTTAATTCCTAGGTCAGCCCAGATGTAAAGCATACAGAACTAATCTTACCTCTGAAGAGAAGAAGCTATAACAAGTTAGTGACCTTTTAAAATCTACAATTTATACTATTAGTTTTGATTTGTTCATTTTTGGTTTAATATCAAAGAAGTAAAAATCATCTAGGAAAAAAGGTGTGAATAGCTGAATATGTCAGATTTTTAAATTCTTAATAAATGGAAGTTCATAGTTTCATCATCTTTCTTAACCTTATTTGTGTAGTCGTCTTCTTAGGATGGACATTTTCAAGTTACTTGCTGTGCTCCCAAAGTGGAATTCACTTTGGTAAAGCAAAATAGAAGGAAGACTCTCAAGTTTCTATCATTTGATTCATATTCTGAGGTCCTGTTACTATGGTAATCACAAAGCAGCAATATAAGGAGCAGGGTATGGGAGGGAGAGAATTGTGGCTGAAGTGCAATGTAGTTGAAAAAATGGCTGGCTAGAAATTATTGCTCCCAGGACATTGAGTAATTCAAAGAGTTTTGTGAGCCTAAGGACTTGTGTAAAATAAGTACTCCAGTTTATATCCAAAAATAATCTCTCTGTTTTCAAGTGACTGGCTCTATTTATTTATTTATTTATTTATTTATTATTTCTTGATGGACCTTTATTTTATTTATTTATATGTGGTGCTGAGAATCAAACCCAGGCCTCACACATGCATTCCACCACTGAGCTACAACCCCAACCTGTGACTGGCTGTTAATCAGACCTTTACAGCCTTTGTCATATTCTTAAGTTTCCATGTAATGGATAAATTGACATGTGTCAAAGCTGCTGTGTGGCATTTGGAACTCTCTGCAAAGTAAGCTTGAAATTGGCAGTATGTGTTCTTCTTCCTTTGTATAATAAAATGAACAGGTACATCTGATTGATAAGTTTTGTTTTTGTTTTGGTTTGGTACTAGGAATTTAACCCAGGGACACTTGAGCTATATCCTCAGCCTTTTTATTTTTTATTTTGAGTTAGGGTCTCACTAAGTTGCTTAGGATCTGCAAAGTTACTGAGGCTGACCTCAAACTTGTGATTCTCCTGCCTCAGCCTCCTTAGTTACTAGGATTACCACACCCAGCTGATTGATGGTCTTAATGCTTTTACTCACCTGAGCCAAACATGATGCAATTGAAAAATATATTTGGTTCTAGATATACAGGTAGCTACAGTCAACAGTGAAGCCTGTTCAATTATATAGTAGCCATTTTCTATCAATAAAAGGCTCAGTGGTAGAGCACTTGCCTAGCTTGCATGAGGCTCTGGGTTCAATCCTCAGCACCACATATAAATAAATAAGTAAATAATGAAAAATGATCCATTTACAACTAAAAAAAATTAAGAAAAAAAGGGCAGATAAGGGACGGAGGGGAAAGGAAAGGGGCATGGAGGTAGAAAAGATAGTGGAATGAAATAGACATTGTTACCCTGGGTACGTGTATGAGGACACGAATGGTGTGACTCTACTTCGTGTACAACCAGAGACATGAAAAACTGTGTTCCATTTGTGTACTATGAATCGAAATGCATTCTGTGTCATGTATAACTAATAGAACAAGTAAATAAATGAATTTTTTAAAAAGCAAATTCATCTTTTAGATAACATCTTTCCTAGAACTTAATTTTCAATTTCTACTTTAAAAAAAAATGTTAAATCATTGCTTGTTTATTTTGAGGATCAAATGAGAGCATGTATTTTGTTTAACTTTTTTTTCCCCTTTTCTTGAACCAGGGGGCTCAACCCCTGAACCATATTCCCAGCCTTTTTTATATTTTATTTAGAGACAGATCTCGCTGAGTTGCTTTGGGCCTCACTAAGTTACTGAGGCTGACTTTGAACTCATGATCCTTCTGCCTCAGCCTCTTAAACCGTTGGGATTACAGGTGTGTGCCACCATGCCTAGTAATTTTTTTAACTTAAATATTTTATTTGGGGCTGGGGATATAGCTTAGTTGATAGAATGCTTGCCTCACATGCACAAGGTCCTGGGGTCAATCCCCAGCACCCCCCTCAACGTACACACACACACAATTTTGTACTTACTATCTAGCAAGGTGTGGCCTGTAATCCCAGCTCTTTAGGAGTGTGAGGCTGGAAGTTCACAAATTCAAGGCCATCCTGGGCAATTTAGCAAAATCCTGTCTCAAAATTTTTTAAAAAGGTGGGGGGCTGGGGATGTGACTCAGTGGTAGATCACCTCTGGTTTAAGGCTTAGTACTGTTCAATCCCCCGGTCTGTTCAGTTTCACAATTTTCATTATGACCTAAGGTTATTATTTGAAAGAGAAAATTCCTTGCTGTATGTTCTGTGCCATGAAATAGGTTTGTGAGTCATCTACTTACTTGACTGCACCCTACCCTTTTTAAATGCTAGAGCTCAAACCCAGGGCCCCTGCATGCTAGCACTCTACTATTGATCTACACCCCCCACCCTCCCCTTAACTTTTTATTTTTGAAATAATTTCATATTTACAAATACAGAATGGTTATAGGAATAGTACAAATAATATTCTTTACTCAGATTCCCCAAACTACTAACATTTGTTCATCATTCTCTCTCTTTATAATATATATTCAGTATACATGATAAATATAGGCAATATATTATATCTAAAATTATTTTTCAGAATGATTTGAGAATAAATTGAGACTGATTCTCCTTTGCCTTAAATACATTCACTTGTATTCCTGCCAATACTCCCACCAAAGGACAGTCTCTTAAAACAGGAAATTTCATTGGTACAATACTTTAATCCACATACCTATTCAAACTTTACCAGTTAACCTGATAATAGCCTTTAGAGCAATACACATAAAAAGTGTTTTGAGTGCTTGTGTTTTAAATATTGTGGTATGTGCTACATGATAGTCATCACAGCTCCTCTCTCACCTCAATCTCTCATTTGTTTCCATGAGCAATGTGAACAGTTAGGTACCCTGTCCTCTGACTTAGTAATAAAGATGGGGTAAATGGCTTTACTTGATTTTCCTCTTTTGTATGATTTAGTAGAGCAGCGTGACTTCATTGGAGTGGACAACACAGGAAAGAGGCTGCTCTTCATGGCTAATGAAGCAGACTTGGATGAAGAGCTGGTTATTAAGGGATCCATCCTGCAGAAGTAAGCCCTCGAGATTTCCTTCTTGGCAGTTCTCCTTGTCTTAAAACAAAATAAAACCACCCACCATGGGAAAGATGGAATAAAAACTAGATTATATTGTGTGAAATTGACTAAAGTATGTGAATGTTTTCCCCCATGAGACAGGATAAAGGCTTTTCTTCACTGCATGAAACTTTCCCTGTGTCTTTTCTGACAAGGTAGAGCCAAATCCTGCATAGGAATAAGGTAAAGCAGCTGTTGGGAGAACATGACTGTCTTTCTGATAGTGTTTTAGAACCTCCTTTAAAAAAAAATTGGCAAAAAGCACATAACATAAAATTTACCATCTTAACCATTGTTAAGTGACAAGTACAGTAATAAGTATATTCACATTGTTAGGAAACAGATCTCCAGAGCTTTTTCCTCTTGGAAATATGATTTTATAACATATCTTATTAGACAACTCCCCTTTTCTCCCCTTTCTGTAAGCCCCTTATAACCACCATTCTATTTTCTGTTTCAATTAATTTGACTACTTTAGATACCTTATATAAATGAAATCATAAAGTAATTGTCTGTCTTTATGTGATGGACTTATTTCACATAATATCCTCAGGATTCATTATGTTATACCATATAACAGGATTTTCTTCTTTTTTAATGCTAATATTCCATTGTATGTCTATATCACATGTTGCTCATCTATTCATCCGTTCAACATTTGAGTTACTTCTACTCCTGGGCTATTGTGTATAGTACTGCTATGAACATGCATATGTGGATATCTCTTTGAGACCTTGCTTTCAGTTCTTTTGGATTTATACACAGAAGTGGAATTGCTGGATCATATGGTAGTTCTAGTTTTAATTTTTTGAAGAATTTCCATACTATTTTCCTTAATAATTGTACCATTTAACAGTCCCACCAATAATGCATAAGGGTTCCAGTTTCTTCATATCCTTGCCAGTATTTGATATTTTCATTTTTTATGATAGAAACCATTTTACTAGATATGTAATACTGTCTCATTGAGATATCTTCTTTAATACACATAGTCAACCCAGTCACATTTTCTTCAGTTAGCATTCACTGATTGTTTTTCTAGCATGGAACTTTCTACCTAATGCTAGTATATCGGGATGTTTAATGAATGTTTGAAACCTGAGTAAAATGAATGTGAGAGGAGTAAATTGGGAAAAGAAATACCTTACTTTTTGCCTTTGCTATTCAGCACAATAAGAGAGGTATTTCAGAATATATTGTTTAATGAAATCAAGCTAAAGTCTGGCTTCAGTTAGGTTGTTACATTGAAGGATAAAAGTTCTATATTAGCTCCTTCGTTGTCTCATCTATAAAATGAGACTGATAATAATAGGAGTATTGTGGGGAATAAATAAGGTGATACATATAAATTAATTAGCTTAATGCCTCTTACCTAGTAAGTAACCAAAAACAGTACACATTATTATTATTATTATTTTAATATATATTTTGCGGGATGTACCAGGAATTGAACTCAGGGGCACCTAACCACTGAGCCACATCCCCAGTCCTCTTTTGGATTTTATTTAGAGACAGGGTCACACTGAGTTGCTTAACACCTTGTTTTTCCTGAGGCTAACTTTGAACTTGTGATCCACTTGTTTTAGCCTCCTGAGCCGCTGGGATTATAGGCCTGTGGCACCACACCTGACTTATTATTATCATTTCTAAATAAGTAAACAGCTATTGAAAAATACCATAAAATCACTTCTGGATTAAAATAGTTATTCAAACTATATCACAGAACTTCCTACCACTAGTTTCTAATTAGAAAATTACAAATAGAGGGCTGGGGCTGTAGCTCATTGGTAGAGTGCCCGCTTCACACATGTGAGATGCTGGGTTCAATCCTCAGCACCACATAAAATAAATGATAAATAAAGATATTGTGTCCAACTACAACTAAAAAAATATTTTTAAAAAAATAGAAATAAAAAGCATCTGAAGTTTCAAGATCAGCAAAAGAATTAGGATAATTAAAGTAATAAAGTTTAAAAACTGGTAGCCAAGGAAAGAAACAAGATTCTGGTGAGGAACATAGGAAGAATAAAAGTAGGCTTCCATTTCCACGCCAGAATCCATATTGATATGATGATGAAATCCTGCAAATTCTTGTTAAAATACCCAAAACTACAAATAAATAAACTTTGGGGCTGAGGTTGTGGCTCAGTGGTAGAGCGCTTGCCTTGCACATGTGAGGCACTGGGTTCAATCCTCAGCACCACATAAAATAAATAAATAAGTTAAAAAAAGGTACTCTGTCCATGTTGAACTAAATTTTTTTTAAAATAAAATAAAATTTGCCTTTATCTTTGACTATGAATCAGTAGGGGCAGCCACTGGGAAATAAATTATTAAGAAGGGAAAGTGAACCATGAAACTGAACTTGAACAAAAGAAAATATTTAAGCCTGAAGAACAAATAGATGCAAAAATACAGACAGAGATAATTTCCCTACCTGGGGATGGAATATGCCCCATAATTATATGGCAGGAACCAAGAACCTTTAACAAACTCTCAGGAAAGAGCAATTTTCTAACAAAGACTTAACAGTATCTTAGCTATTTTTTTTTATATCCTTCTGTACCTTTCCAACATCATTTTCAAAACCATAGAAAAATATATAGAATATAAAATAGCCAGCACTCATATAGTACCTGGTCTCAGATACAGGAGGGTCAGAAATAAGAATTCATCTATATTATATCAAAATAAATAAAATTCTGGCCAGAACCATGATTTAAGCATGAAAAAGACCAAAAGAATTAGACATCAACTATACAAACATGGAGAGCAAATAAAATAAAAGGAAAGAAAGTACCTTGTAGCTGGATATGGTGGCTCATGCCTATAATATTAGCTACTCAGGTTTGAGAAAAGAAAGGAAAGATGAAAAATGCCTTGAAAAAACTATATTTAAAAAAAACACATACACACAATTTGAGAAATAGAAAATTTTCCTTACAAATATAAAATAAATAATTAAACAGTGAATTGAATAAATAAGAATTCAGTGATGTAAGGATAAAACAACAAATTAAGATTAATAAAAAAGGACATCATAGAACTAAAATGGAAATTATTGAGGACCAAATAATTTAGTTACAAAATTAATTAAATAATTATAAAGACAGGAAAGAACAGAATAGATATTGCTGAAAATTAAATTACTGACACAGAGGAATAGTTTGAGACATTCAGTGATTTAGATAAAAAAGAAAATGGTTGGGCTCGAGAGTGTCTGTCGCTCAGTGGTGGAGCACTTGCCTAGAAAGAAAGAAAGAAAAAGTGATAGAGAAAGGGAGGAGAAAGAGAAAAATAGAGAGAAGAACATGGTTAAATAAATTAAAATCTAATAGAAATGAAAGGCAAAGATGATTCAATATAATTAATATTTCTGAAATAGAGAATGAGACTGTGACCCAAACATGTATTCAAAGATATAAAGACTTCTTGTAATGATTTTAACATAAAATAAAGATATAAGAACTAGATAAGTAAGATGACTTCTGAAACCCCACTAAAATAACAATAAAGGGATTTTTAGAAAGGTGTAAATCCAGAAGGCTAAAGAAAAGGAAAATGAAGATAACAAATTTTAGAAGAAAGAGAGAAGACTAGAAAGTCACAAGAATGGGGCACCAAGAATAGATGAGGTTGGAGGGAACAGGTAGAAAATGAAATGTAAGAAATGTACGAAGGTCCTCAATTTCCTTCTTCCACTTGGCTTCTAAAAACTGGCAGCTAGGCCCACATCCATTAAGCAAGGATATTAGAGGATTCTTCTCTGTGATAACTGATAGATAGTTCAAGAGGAAAGACCTAAAGATGAACATCAAGGAGTTTCTCAAAAATATTCTTATATTATAATGGCATAATTTGGCGTGAACATACTCTATATACAGAGTTATGAAAGATTGTGCTGTGAATGGATAATTATGAGTGTAATGCACTCCACTATTGTCATGTATGTAAGAAATAAAATGTTTTTATTTTTATTTATTTTTTTATTTATCAGGGGAAAAAAATCCCTATATTCAGTTTCAAAGTCAACAGGCCCTATCACACGTTCAGTGCTCCCAATCAGATGTTTATTGTGACACTCTCAAATTTAGAATAGAAAACCAAGGATTACTAGTTCGGAGGCCAGAACAAATAAATAGGAAAAAAACAAAAATAAAACAGAAAAAAATCAACTCACAGGAAACAAATTATGCAAAGAAAACTTTAGAAAAGGTAACATGAGTATCCTCAGGAAGATTTATTTATTTATTTAACCAATATTTGAGTTCAAGGACCTAGGGACTCAGCAGTGGACAAACAAAAAATCTTTGCCTTCATTGAGAGATAAAAGAGAATATTACATATGTAAATCCCAAAGCAAAGCAAAATGCTGAGATTTTTAGTTTAGTTTTGGTTTTTTTGGTGGGGTGAAGGTACTGGGAATTGATCCTAGGGATGCTTCAATACTGAACTACATCCACATTCCCTTTTATTTTTTAATTTTGAGACAGGGTCTCACTGAGTTGCTGAGGCTGGTTTCAAACAGGATCCTCCTGCTTCAGCCTCCCAAACTGCTATTACAGATGTGCGTATTGCACCCAGCAAAATGTTGTATTTTAAAAAGAGCATTTACAGAATAAACAAATGTTGATACTTAAATTAAAAATTCAACAGAATGGTTGGATGAAATTTTTTGAAAAGTTTTCTGTAGCAAATTAATGTAAAATAGATAAATGATAGGACAATTAAAAGAGCAGCCAAAGATGTCACATATTCCTAATATGGAGTTTGAGAAAGAGAGAACAGAGAAATGCAGGGGAAAGAAATCATCAATAAGAATTTTTTGCAGGGCTAGGGTTGTAGTGCCATTGTAGAGCGCTTGTCTAGCATTTGTGAGGCACTGGGTTCAATCCTCAGTACTAAATAAATAAATTAAATAAAGGTATTATGTCCATCTACAACAAAAGATTTTTTAA